ACATACCATTGAAATGCCTACAACTGGTATTATTTCACCTGCATCTGAAACATCAATCACCATATCCAAAGGAATTGTTGCATCAATCTGCTGCATTCCAAATTTTATAGTTGGCAGCGAAGAAACAGAAATATTCAGGTTAATGTCATGATCTGGATAGAGCTTGTACAACTGCGGAACAATGAACCTCCAACCAGCAGTGTTCAAGATATGTTGATCTGATACATTGTCAATAATCCAATGCATCTTCTTTGCCTGAAAGAAGAACATACTTTTATTATCTTGCAATCAATGGTTTTCCCAATGTTGACAAATTCTATTATGCGATCCAGCAAAGAAATGTTAAGACACTGCGGATTAGGTAGCTTGGATCACTACAAAATCCTTCAGGCGTTAAATCATGACATTTGTGTACGGAGAAAGACAGAAGGTATCAGACTCTACTCTAGTTCATTGTTCCGAAGCACCCAACTGGCCTGACTTACTAGGATATGTGACATGCTTGAAGTGTGTACAAATTTAGAGAAGATTAGACATGTCTTATAATCTTCACCCTATAGTAAAAGAAGACAAAGGAGTGAACCCCCTTTCCTCAGTATTTTTTTATAAGCATTTCTAGAACCTACCAGTCTGTATTGCATAAAGACAGACTAAAATTTTAAATAATTCTCTATTTCCATATTTTATATGTTTACGTTATCCTTACAAAAAGTGATCCAAATTTCAATTATCAAGCTGTTTTTTTTAAAATAAAGAAATTAAAAAATTACTTCGAAGTAGACTGTTGATGCTGATTTAAGAACATCTTCATGCAATGAGACCCTGACCATCTTCTGCACTTCCTTGCAGGAGTATGAAGGTTGTAAAGTTTTATGATAGTGGTTGGAAACCATAATTTCTTCCTTGGCAGATAATAACCCATCTATTTCAAGGTCAAGTGATGATTCACTCAACTTTGGGTCATCAACAAATGTAAAATTCAAAGCAGCAATATTAGTTATTGGAACTTCTTTAGGGAGAGACTGCAATACAGAATCGAGCTTTATGATTCCATTATTTATTTCCTTGGAAACAGCATTTTCAACTGCAGAAATAATTTTACCCTCAAAGGCATCCACCAACCTGCAAAATGGGAAGGGAATCAGAAAAGGAATATGAATGGTCATGGAAAGTAAGTAAATGAAATTTATAACTAGCCGTAAACAAATAGGAAGGGGAGAAATCAAACAAAAAAGTTTGTAGACTTAACAGCTAACATGTTTCCCGGATAAATTTTTCATCATCGAAGAAGATAGTATTAGAGTGCACTTTAAGATGAGCTTGCATTTCATATTAGGATGAAATTTCTCGATGTTCATCTAGGGTTTGCATGAGCACAGATAATGCAATGGACTAAATAAAAATGTCTTATTGGATAATTTCAATTTCCATCTGACACCAAGAATCAGCATATTTAGCTATTAGTGGAACAGAAATATATGCAATTAGGTCCAGGCATGACACCAATGACCTATAAATAAAATCTATATTCCTCATCGAAATTAAACGTCTAATAAAAACATAATCTACAATTTCTACAGACAGCAGGGTGTAAACTGTAACACAGAAGTTGTCAAGCAAAATGTTTCCTTACAGGTCCAAAGAAGAATTTCTACTTTGATATTCTAATTCATTAGCCCAATTTCCAACAATGCAAACAACAAAATCAAGGAAAATTGCCATAGTTCGGAAACATGAAAAACGATACCCTTGATATAGCCAGGATGCTCCACCATCCAACTTTATCGATATATCTTTCACATTACATCCACGTTCCAGAACAGACAGCTTAAGAGATCCTTGTAGATTCTTCAGACTGAGGGTAAGCCCAATGTCCATACTTTCAACCTTAGAAGAAGCAAAATACATCTTCAGACTGATTATTCAACGACTTAACTCACATAAAAATTTCTAACAAGGATCACTCTAGGGAGCTGCAAAAATCTAAACACTAAATGAAAGATAGAACAGAACAGAACATGTAACATTGAAACGTGCACTTGAAGCAGAAGTGATATGCTGACAAATGTGTGAAGAATTCTCAACCTTCACAAAAACAGAGCATATACATCATTTTGAAGCACTTTGACAACTCTCGAAGTTTTGTAAAACTATGAGGTAAGGAAGTAAACTTCATTAATTTTACTGCAATGCTAATTGGTGGAAATGCAAAGAGAAATTTCTGATCTGTAATACAAAATTTGAGTTAAAGATTTCATTACAACGTAATATTGGACATAAACTTAAGTCTAGTAAATATGCCTACTTTAATTAGTGAAATAGCCAATGCGCTTCAGCCTGACCATTAATCTGACTAGCCATTGTTAGGTTGTTACAGGTTTTCAGAAACTTAAATTATAAATACTGCTACTAGTTCTCTTTCCTCCCTCACACCATAATCCCCCAAATCATGATACACAAACACACAAATGCATGCACTACACATAATTATGCATACAATAACAACAAACTAATCTAGATTCCAAATAAATTAGAAGTAAGCTATGTGAATCCTTTTACTCCACTCCTTTCGATTCATTACTACGTGCCTGCAGCTATTGCTAAATCCAATACATCATTCGTAACCATAACATGCCATATTAAATTTGATGTCTCTCCCTCTCCTAACCTATTCTACTAGGATCACATCACTCTTGCGCACATAAGATTTTACAAGTCTTCGCAAAATATGTCCTAGTTGCCTAAGTCACCTATCTGTTCATTTATCCCCAGTTGGTGAACCTTTATTTATTGGCATAATATTCTCATTTATTATTGCACCTATTCTAGTATGGCTACACATTCATCTCAATATCATGTTTCCAGTATTTTCATCTTATCAGGATTCCCGGTATTCCACTTGGAATTGTCAAATTTGTTCCTTTTTCTCACTTCGCACTTCACAAAAATAATCCTTAACCCTAGATGGACTCTTACACAGAAATTCAACTTTCCCTGGAATTACCTTTTGGCATCTACAATGCTTAAAATTCTTAGCTTTTTGAAGTTACCTTCCTATTAAATTGAAGTTCACTCCATATAATATTCAGAAGAAATGATAACTTGCTAGATTATTATAATGAGATTTCATGTATAGCATTCAAAACTACACAAATTAAGCATGCATTATAAACTGCATACCCCAATTGTGGCACTTCCTTGATCCGAAACAGCAATAGGAACCAACCAAGTGCTATATGAATACTTCCAATTCATACTCAAATTCGCCGTGGCCCCAGAAACAGATATATGTATACCATCATCACCAGTTTTCACATTTGAAGAAATCACATCAATCCTTTCCACAATAATATTCGAAAGAACCATATGAACTTTACCCGCAACTGGGATTTTCACGGCCTTCTCAATCTTGGGTAGGTAAAGTGGAAGCATCGACGACTCTGCCTTTTCTATTAACAAATCCTTGAGAAAATCAAGACCCTTATTCGATATGTCTACCGAAATGTGCCCTTCTTGATCATTTGATCGAACAGGTGTATAGCAAAAAATAAATAAGAAAATTATTACAAAAATAAAAAATGATCGTGCCATGAAAAAGAATCCCAGCTGAGCTTCGAGAATGGTGTAAGCTGGTGTTTTGGCAAATTTAGCATCAACGTGACTCTCACGGTAAATTGAAAAAGAACATGCTTACTGTAGGAAAATGAAATTACTCAAATAAGATGATCAAACAAATTACAAAGACAACTGGGAAAAGATTTCTACTTCTTGAATTCTTACAACCTCAATATAAAGGATTACAACACAGAGAGGTTTGAACATGAGTTTCAAGATGAACTGTAGAAATAAGTTTCAAGATTAATGGTAGAAATAAATTACAACATTGTAACTCAAGGTGTAAAGTTATGAGCATCCATTAATCTTGGAACTTATTTCTACCGTTACAATGTCGTAGTAATAAATTAAAATGTCATTATGTAAAAACTATGTTACAATATGGTTAACAATTAAGCAACTTCCATAAAATAAAAGGACGGCAAGTGCACTCCAGTGAAATTTAAAACCATATTGAAGTTCAGGGACCGAATTGAAATGAAATTTAAGTTGATTGATCCAATTGAAATAAATTAAAGTTTAGTAACCTAATTGAGATTATTCTATTTTTGTCTTGATTGAAAGTAACAATCGTAATCTAATCGAGATGAATAATATTATATAACACCAACGATGCTAAAGCACTGAACTATGCAACATTATGGGCATGTCTGTTTCTGATTTTAAAAAGAATTTTAATTGGATATCTTATCGTTGCCAGAGTTTGGAACCGAAATGTTTGACAGTGGGACCCAGGAGCTGGCCAAAAAAGGGTCAAAAAAGCAATTCTTCATTTTTAAAAAGCAGTAACAGACAAGCCCTATATAATATGTTCAATTAAAGGTGAAATTACGCGATTCATTTAATTGAACTTTTCATTTAATAATACCTGGAGTCATCTAGACTGATGTTGTAATATGTGTTATGCTAAATAGTATTTACTCAATTGAGATTATTATATTTTTGTCTTGATTGAAATTAACAATAATAACTTCTTTTCAACTGCAAAAGAGGTACGCGGGGAGGAAAGATTTCCAGATGACATACAAATACAATAGCTCTATTTTAGGTTCCCTACATAATTTTTGTGCTATTATAATAGAAACAATTGACACTCAGCAGATGGGAGTGAAGTAATTTCTCTGTATCAGTGTCTTTGGCATCTAAGAAAACACAAAAATAGATACGTGAAAGAATAGGCACTCGGAGCAATACAATAATCAAACATGTTTACGAACACTATACTACCATCATTTTCTAACCATCCATGTTTCTCATCGCCGAGTCTGTTTGCCGACAGCTCCCCTTGTACCTCACTACAGCATAGTCGCCATGTAAATATTCAGTGAGGTTTCACTCAACTCAAGAATATTGAATTCTAATGGTAAATCTTCCTGAGATCAACTCTATAAGAAGTAATCTGGTGGGGGCTTTTTAGCAGGAGCTCCTCTTGATTCCTGCATTTTACCATGAAACCCTTAATGCACAAGTAGTTGAAATATAAACGGGGAGCAGAGATAGTCAAAAGATAAGTTAGCTAGCCAGATATATTCCTTAATGAAACTAAAATAAAAAAAACTAGCTGATTTTTTTTTTTTTTTTGGTAGGTAAGAGCAGTACTGGCTAATAGCACATGTCCTAGGCAACTTAAGATCGACGCCAGGCCACATATTTAGCCATTGATTACTCGTGTTCTCGTTGCCATAGCACTAAGGCATTCCATATATTTTTAACCTTCATCTAGCAGTGGCTCATGTTCAAAAGGTGAACTGAATGTGTAGGGGTTTTCGGCCTCTGGCATGTTCCGTGTTTATAAACCTAAGAGAATTAAAATCAATAAAAGTTGACCATGTAACTGGGCCAGAACCCAGGCATAATGCTAAAAACTTACAAGTTATAACCTGTGCTGACTGGATTATAACATCTTTGTAGTTCTAACCAGAAAACTTATATATGTATTTTATTTTTCATTTTACTTATACGCTCTCCCGATTGCAAACTTTTGACTTTTGCCTGTCTCGCACTCTAGCTCTGGCTATATGTGACTTAGAATTCATGTCAGTATTGCTATTGCCTCAGGTTAATAAAAAATGAAAGGACAGATTTAGTTGCAAATCCAACAGAAGCACATTATATGCACAGACCTGTGGAGCCGCTTCAAATACACGAAACTGCTTTTCAAGATTTTCATCCAGCTGAAGAATCGCAGCTACATTGCCACATCTGCAGCATATTTGATTTTCAGAACAAGTTCAACATAACAAGAGACGATTGAAAGAACTAATATATTTTACTACATTTACCAATTACCTGTAACAGTAATTTGGAGCTGACCATACAGTAACTATCTGGTTGTTAAACATCCACTTATAACCTTCCATTACCAACTGATGGGCGCGACATATATAGTCGATATTATTTGAATGGTTAAATGAAGTTACAACGCTGCCACCAAATAAGAAACCAGCACCACGGGGACTCAAACCCCAACCATCAACAATGTCTTCTGGATCTGACCATAGGAGGTCACACATGGCACCATCGTGAGGTACTTCTTGCTTCCGGTCAATTGTTCGAATCTGAGATATAGGTAAATTAGAATCTTTAATCACACTTCGAATAAAGGGAAGAGACTGATACTTGGTATAATTTTCATACCTGGTCTAACGTGGAAATTGATGGTGACAGACCACCATGAACAGAAAATATCTTGTTCTCAATAAGCGCTGACAAACTGCAACAGATATCCAATAGAATTTAACCGTTATGAAAGTTATGTTTCAAAATGTAGCATACCAGGGACATGCAAGGTATCTTTTCTAAAAGGGAATTCAGATATGCACTTCCAGGAAACATCCAACAATATAAAGGATATTTCCACAATAATATGCATTATTTATCAACTGAGAAGTCTAGAGTTAAACTACAATACGAGTATAACACCAAGGTACATATAAAGTTGGTCATTATATTAGTTTCCTAAAGCCCCAATTATTAAAAACTTGATCCATGTTACCAAGTGTGCATGTTTGATTAAAAACAAAAACCACAGAATATCCAAGAAATGGCAATTGCCAAACCTTAAATAATCGAATATATCAGTGCAATATCTCCAAACATTCACTGAACCGTACTTCCGCAAGCACTCGTCATAGAATCCATACACCTAGAAGCAGAGAAAACCAATAAGTTACATGCAACCTAATAGCTTAAATCGGATAAGCAACAAAGACTCAACCTGTGTTATTTGCCGGCTCTCATGGTTTCCCCTGATGAGAGTTATCCGATCTGGATATCTCACCTTACAATGAATTTCATGTTAGTGAAAGCTCACAAAAAGATATATATTTTGAAACTCAAGGAAAACAGATAATGTCAGATACTCCAAGGGCACATGTGTTTTTCGGGGACATTGGGCATCATCATAATTGCTTGACTATCTACTCAAGAAATAGGTAAATGCTAATACCTTCAAGGCAAGTAGAAGCAAAAATGTCTCAACTGAGTAAAATCCTCTATCAACAAAATCTCCAAGAAACAAGTAATTAGTCTGCGGACAATCACCTCCGACTTTGAAAAGCTCTTTCATGTCATAGAACTGTCCATGTATGTCACCACATATCTACATCCAACGAAGAAAAATAGAGGTATAACACTATAACTATGCTAGAATATGACCAGAACATGTAAGACAGCAAAACAAATGCCATGAGTTATAAACTATTTTGAGCAAAGTATCCATATGTAATCATGCATCTTATACACGCAGATAGGAAAACAAAAAAGGAGAGGTTTCTCTCATTATTCTCTCTCTCTCTCTTTTTTTTTTCTCCATGGGGCAGGGAGTGTTTTCTTAAGGACCATTAAAAAGGAAGGAGAAAATCGAATTTCAGAGAAAAGGAAACTTTCTCCATCTATCAGAATTCAGAATCACATCCAAATATAAACAAAATTGAAATACACCCAGGTGAATCTACGTTTCACATTGAGATGCTGAAATTAATACAGTCAGACCCTGTGCAAAATGTGTGCATTCTGATGTTCACATTCCAGGATCTGCCACTTCTCATTCCAACTAAAATAACTTCAACATGGTTATAGAACCTATCTATTAAATAAAGGTGGTGTTTTGGCCTCGAGGGTTTCGAGCAATTTTGCATTTACTAAAAAGGAAATAAAGAAGATCACTCTTGTTGAAATAATTGATTGAGTAGGCCATTTTTTTTTTTTTTAAAGGTTGGGATGGGCGGCTTGAGTTATTTGTTGCTAGAGAAACTTAGTGCAATTAATTTAGATAAACCCACTTTTTTTTTTGATAGGTAAATTTAAACAAACCCACTTGTAGAACAGAAGCTGCTTTAACATATAATGTTACTCTGATTACCCTCTATGTAGTCTGACATGAGTTGAAACTCGAAAGTATACATGGCTAACAATTAATGGCACTGGCTAACACTTCAGGCCTGTGTGTGGTAGAAAATGTACGTTTCTTAGATAGATATGATATACTGGGCGCATAGCTTTACTTTTCTGTTTGTTAAAATCAATCGATTAAACTTAGATAAGTCTGTTAATAGAATCTGACTGCAATGCATTGAAATTAAAGCTTGACAGGCTAACACCGAATTCTGAGGAAAAGATAAGAGGAAAGATGTATAAATATTTAATTTACCATTAGGCTTTAATATTCTTATTCAAACCCTCCAACCAACACACACAGACTACAATTTATTTTGCCATTTGCTATAAGCTGCAAGATATTATATGTGCTCCTGTTTTAATTTTATCATCATACTATCCATTTTCACCTTCAAACTTATTCACTTTAGTTGAGTACTTTCGTTGTACCTATTATGTAGTACTTATCATTGTTGAACTATATTTAATTAAGTGCTTGTATGAAATGTGATTAGAAAGAAGGTAAAAGTAAATGAGGAAAAGTGAAAAATGATTTTATTTTTTATTTTTTTAGAATGTGTGGTTGAAAATGAGTGCAGGGAAAAATGATTTTGAAATAAGTCACTTTAAAACAAGGGATAAATAAATGAAACTCATCTCAAACAACATATGTTTTTAGACGAGGTGGTTCGACATTCATCATTAATCTTTCTTTGCTTGAATCTTCACTTCCTTGCTAGCTGATATCCGAATAGCACACTCTAAATCCAACTTTGGGTACAACAAACTTGGGGAAGCAGCCACAGACACTAGCCTTCCCCAAGGACCAGCAGAGTAAACTATTAAATTGGTAAATTCTTAGTCCAAAAATCCCAATAGCTTCCATCAATTTCCACTTATTCCAATTGTTGGAACCAAAAAATATACATTTTAATTTTCTATCTAACATATGACAGTATCTATTGAAAGCAGACAAGAATAAGCCCATCCCCTCAATATATCCACCGTAAATTCCAATGTGGAGTTTTAACATCTAAAGGTTGAATTTTCAGCATAACTAAAAATAAACAAAATAAACAGCCTTCTACGAAATCCTCTAAAATTCCATTAACCTAGATTCATCCGCAGCTCAAACTCAGTAAATCAGAATAAATCAGACCCTAGATTAACGCACAATCACAGACAACTCAATTCAAACTTTTATACATCCAACATTCCAAGTGCCAAAAAAAAAAAAAAACTACTAATAAAGCAACAGAGGACCAAAATTAATTAAAAATTCTTCTCTGACTTACAGTGACGGGAGCATCCACCCGCTGAACATTACTCTCTTCAACGAGGATTTCCATGGCTTTGAGACAAAGGGCTTTGACTTCAGATTCCGTGAGTGGCTCGCACCTTTTCAGTTGCTCTATCTGCCTGTCCAGGTCTGACATCTTCACAGATTCGAACTCTAAAACCCCTCTGATATTTGAGAAACTGAATAGTGATTCAGGAACAGTAGATTGTTATCTTTTTCTTCCCATTTGGATGGAAATTTTGTAGTTCAAAACCCCTGGTAATTTTTCCTTTAGCTGTGTTGTTGTTCACTTCTTTTTTTTTAGTGGGCCTGCTTTTCTTCCTCTGTCCCTCTGGGACGCCGATGGGGGATTTGTGCAATTCGCGCTGTTGCAGCTTTATATTTTGATTTGACCCACTTTAGACTTGGTTGTTTAAAATGGGTCAAAATGCTAGGTGGACCGTGGAGTACAGGATCCAAATATCTTTTAAGCCCAAACAATGTTTGTGTAGCTTAAAAAAATTGAAAAAAATTTTAATTAGAAGTCAACAATTAAATTCAATCACATATTTCATGAAAGTCATAATTTTTAACTACATCGAACAAGAGTTTTTTTTTTTCTTTTGCTGATTGTTGAGACAAAAAAGTGCGAGAAAGAAAGAAAAATGAAGATGACTACTATGCAAATGGCTTGATCCATGGCATGCCCCATCTCTGGTGTTTGGTATTATCATCACTTGCACTAATGCAATTCTATATATATTATTTAAAAATCAAACTCAGAAATTCACGAGTTTCATTTGTCAAGTCCACCCTCGTTTCAAGCATACTTACGCACGATTCACGTACTATACAAGAATGCTCCATCAACAACTTAAACATGAGACCTACATACAACAAATTGAATGAAACCCGACGAAAAAGAAGCGAACAATGGCCAAGATCCTGACAAGAGGGGTTTATTTTTCTTCAAAGGTTCTAAAAAGGTCATGACAATACTCTTCCACTACATAACTTTTTGAGATCATTTCAAAAAACCACTTTGATCCTATTTTCTATCATACAAATAATTAATTGACGTAGGGTAACCCAAAAATTACAACTCGTCCCACTGATACAATTTATTCTATACCACCTGATGCTACCAAAAATCGTACATATTGATTTTCGAGCTTGAGAATTGAAGATAAGCATGAACACAATCTTCCCGTACCTGAAACAAAAGTGTCGAAATGTTTCCTCGTCACCCCTCCGATGCTTAAGTCAGAGAAAGAATTTATACATGAGGATATAGACTAAAAAAGCTTTGTATCTATAGATGTAGGTAGCTCATTTCTGATAGGACTTGGTTAACTAGGTGTCCTTATCCTTAAAAGTCCACTTGAGATGAGTATTGGATTGCAATAATAAGTCTAATCATGTTTCAACTATAATATTTACAGAGATAGACTTCTTTTAGACATAGGAGTCTTGAGATATTTGGATATGTTTAGAATCCTTGGAAAAATTAAACTAAAATAAAAGTTACCCATTTTACCATCCCTACCTCTTGCCCAAAAAATTGAGACACGTGAAATTCACTCAAAGAAGATGTTTGAGTAAATAGATTTGTAGTTAAAAAGTAAATAAAAAAATTTACAATGTATACTTTTAAATTGGTAAAAATTTTAATTCAAATTAAAGTCAATAATAAATTTTAAATACACATTTCATCAATTTTTATTAAAATTTACTAAAAATCTGATTTTAATCTCCACCGAACCGAACGAGGGTGAATTTGACCAACTTAAAAGCAGTATCAAATAAACAAGGATTATTAGTGTAGAAAGGAGAGTGAAAGAGAAGATTAATGCATTCACTCTCCGATTAGTGCTACGACGTTTAAAGATTTGAAATCTGCAATTGACGAATCATACTTGAGTTGAACTTGATTATCACTCTTCTATTCCTTTAAATCTCGGATTCCTAATCAATAGTGTATTCGGAATTTTTTTCTTCATATATAATGATTATTACCGTAATGCATGCCAGCAGAAACGACGAATAGGAGTAAGACGAACTATTCTTGGCGGTAATTGGCAAACTCAGCAATTTGCTCATTCATTCAACCAATCCAACTGGTGATTCCAATCATAAAGGTAATCAAATATTCCTCCTTTATATTTCATGTAATCGTAGTTTTCTTATAGCTAGCCAGTATATCAGTAATCTGTGTTTTGACGATATACATATACGTGTAAACGAGCTAAAAAATTCCAAAGCAATTGTTCTTTTTGATTGACTTCTTTTTCTGAAATTTTTATGATTTTAACTCTCCTTTGATTGATTTTGCGGCTATGTTAAATTTTGATCTGTATCAAGTTTTTTTGTTGGGTAGAATTTCAGTTTTTACCATCTGAGATTTTTTTAAAGTAATAACTTGTTAGTTTAATGCACAAAATAAGGCTGTTTCTTGCTTCGATTCAAGGTAAATCTCTCATTGCATCAATGTATATCCTTGTCAGTAATAAATCCATATGATCTATAACATGCCTAAACAAGGTCGTCTGTCAGTTGGTATTGCTGATAGGATGATTGTGTTAGGATAAGAATTTCGTAAGAATTAGTAATTTGCTAAAAATTCCACCGTCTTAGTTTTCAGACCAATGGCTGCTTCCAGAGATCAGTGGGTGAGCGAATATAATGAAGCGGCAAAACTCGCTGAAGATATCACTAACATGATATCTGAAAGGAGTTCATTTCCCGCAACAGGGCTAGAAACACAGCGACATTCAGCTGCAATACGGAGGAAAATTACCATACTCGGCACCAAACTTGATACCTTAGAGTCTCTTCTGTCGAAGCTTCCGGCAAAGCAGCCTTTGTAAGTTATCTTCATTGAACTGGCCATTGGATAAATATGTAGATGCACAACTTGTTATTATGTTTGAATAATCAAGCAGTTATCTAAATTTCACAGTAAATTTGATTGACATACTGGTCATTGTGGTAGTCTTTTGAGTGCTTCTTGAACCTGCATTTCTTATGCGTGTTAAACGTGCTCTTTCTTATATATAGGACAGAGAGAGAAATGAATCGTCGCAAGGACATGATTGCGAATTTAAGATCAAAAGTAAGCCAGATGGCTTCAACAATGAATATGTCAAACTTCGCAAATAGGGACAGCTTGCTTGAGCCAGAAAATAAGCCGGTTGATACTATGAGTAGAACAACAGGACTTGACGACTCTGGGTTTGTTGATCTTCAACGACAAATCATGAAAGGTTAGTTTCTGTGAAGATTTTAAACTTTATTTTCTTCTCCTTTTCAATATGTTATGTCGGTTTTCTGTTGTGTATCATCCTTTGTTCACTTTCTATGCAGAACAAGATGAGGCTCTTGAGAAATTGGAGGAGACAATTATCAGCACCAAACATATCGCTTTGACAGTCAATGAGGAGCTTGATCTGCATACAAGACTAATTGTGCGTGTTTGATTATATATTTTCACTAATCCAGTTTTATTATCTTCCAAAGTCACTGATTTTTGAGTTGTCTGTTTGATATATTCCGAGCAGGATAGTTTGGACGTAGATGTTGATGCTACAGAGTCCCGACTACAGGTAATGTTTCTAGTCTTATCATATTATCATATAACCTTATTGAGCCATTGCATACATTCTTGCTAAAAATCATTGAGTACCATGATCCGTGGCACAAATTTTCTGTAAACTAATAGATATCTGAGGCAAAAGTCTTCGAGCATTTTAACCTTCCTGCTTGGATGACAAAAATAATGCTCGACAGCAAAATTACGTGAAAGTATGATCATTGTTTCAAGTTCTTTGAACTTGGATTGACTAATGTGACATCTCCATGATGTATCATTATTAAGAATGAGAGGAATTACAAGGGATTCACTAGCATGCCCCCATCTTTGTGTGTTTTTCTAATTTTTCATTGATTTTTTGGTGAATTTGATATACTTTCCTTTTTTGTTACCTCTGTCATGATAACAGCTAGCACAGAGGAAGCTTGCATTTCTGAATAAACGCGCTAAGGATGGCAGCTCCTGCTTGCGCCTACTTTTATCAGTTATTGCGATCATCGTTTTGGTTGCTATTGTACATATGCTGATTAAATATTCATGAATACTTGTGGGACTCGAAGAGGCTCCTGCATCCCGGTCTTTTGCATGCCTTGAAGATATACAGACAGCCTCTTCATCTGATGAAATGGCGATTAAGTTCATAAAAACTAAATGTATATACCATTAATATGGTCTATATACATCAATAAAGTCAGCTTTATTAATCAAGTAGCAAGTTCCCTTGTAGAACTTTTCTTGTGAGGAAAGTATATGGTTTCACATTCTGTAAATTCTGAATATGTAAAAAAAAAAAAAAAAGTTGATCATTTTACCATATCCATGCAAAAAATTGTTTACAATTTAAATCGTTATTTCACTAATCAAAGAATTTTCAAGTCATTATCCAAATCAAAGTGCAGTTTGCTTGCTTTTTACCAGATAATCCTCCATGCAGAAGGATCAAAAACCATAGCAGACTAGTAGAGTTCAGCAAAAATCATGATTATAAATCAGTAATTACATTGTAACACCCTGTCCGAACTAAAAGTTAACGTAAACAAAGAAATCATACTCAAGAACGCAGCAAGGAGAAAATCTCTCACAATTTCTTTGAGATGATTTAGTACAACAGGATTTTTCTGCAGAAATAATAAATAAATAAATATAGTCGATAGAGTGAGTTTTGTTCAGGTTCGTCTATCTATGTCTCCGATTTGAGGGGATGTCCTGCACTATAACTACCAAAATTTAGAATCTGAAACTAGGATCCACATCCATTGCCCAAGTAAATTTTGCCAGGAGAGACTTGTTGAATATCTGCATCGGTGTGAAACAATCAGTTGATTCATGAAGTAACTAATTAAGAGGACCGGGAAGCAATGAAAAGTAATCCACGCAGAAATTCAAGTCTTAACCTTCTCGATAGGAACTTCATGACGTTTGCACCATGCAACTGTGATTCGAGGATCAAGGTAATTGATCTTTGATGTGCCCAATGCTACAGTTTTCAAATCCTCTTTGGTCTCCTTGTCTCGTTCCATTTTTTCAACCTTCGCATTTGTTTGAGCTATCTTTTTCTCTAATCTGCACATCGTTTCACCATTAGTAACATGATATCAAACACTGAATAACTTGAATATCAAACACTGAATAACTAAAAAATGAAGTTGTATATTACGCTTCAGGGTTCAGATTCCTTTTCGGTTTCCCATCAGCACCCTTCAGTGGGGGCTTTCCTTTCTTTGCTCTAGCCAAATCTGTCGTCAACTCTTCCAGAGCACCCTACAAACAATAATTAAGACAACTTAATACACAAGACTTTAAAATATTACATCCTAACATTTCTGACAAGTATCAGTTCAAGGATGATAGCACTGAGAATTACTTTCAAACCAATCTTAACCTTCTTTACTTGGAAGTAAGAAAGAAATAAATAGATAATGATCCATCAATGCTCAACTTTGGCAGCGATGTCCTTGAATTGGCAGCTTGCTTTCTTGCATAATATTTCAGTAAAAATCAATAGAACAAAGTGATTAATTAGATTTAAAAGTAATTCATTACCTTTAATTCTTCTATCTTTTCATTCAAACGCAACATCTGGGCACTGTGTGTCTTTGAGACAGTACGTTGATGATTACAAATGATTGCAACCTACACGAGTAAAAAGAAAAATAGAAGTATTTTTCAACCAGACTGAAAAATAATGATGGCATCAGACATTCAGAGTTTTACAATCTGTACCTCCTTGTTTGCATGTTGATAAACAACTACTTTCTCAGCTACATCTCCACCCATTGTATCCCTACTAAGCTGCACGAACAATAACAAATTAAAGAAATGTTGAATAGAAAAACTAGAATGTGGAATGTAAAATTCAGTTAAGGAATCAATAAGTAACTGTCTAAGGTCTCACTTACACTTCTTGACATGAACAGTTTCATTCACTAACTCACGGCATGTATATTTGTTGCCAATACTTGTGACATAACCTTGATTGTATAAGCAAACCATGTGCCACATATTAAGAATGTCTCAGATATATAAGTAAATAGGTGAATCAATTTTTAGGAGAGATGAATGTAGCTGCTAAATTTTAAATTCAGTTCTAATTTCTGAATAACTGCTATTTATCCTCCGCTCAACAAGAATTTATAAATAGATAGAAATAAGTGAATAGTACTTGTGGGTCCATTAGAATGTGTAGTTGAAAATGAAGTTTGATCAAATATAAATTGATTTATAAAGTTTGCCAAACGGAGGCTAAGTTTTTGATAGACCATAAAGAGTAAGCATTAATTAAATTTCGCAACACAATATTGAAGTTATACATTATTATCAAGATCTTGTATCATCGTTTAAGTTTTTGAACACAGCCTGCACATATATCCCACTTCTCCTTTTTCTACCTCAATATTTGAGGGCAGAAGTAAACGTTTTCTCATACTCTTTTGATGCCACACTCATAACCACAGACATTCAGCATACTGATACTAACTTGGAGATTAGAAATTCCAAGTTGAATCTTACCATCTCGTCCAGGGTAATTGATGCATTGTATGTACGGAAAACTTTTGCTGTCAGACCAGGCATGAGTTCCTTCAAATGAGCATTAAGTTTACTTGTATCAAGCTTGTCAAAAAGATCATCACCACCCTTTTTGCCTGAAAGTAATACGAATAATATTAAATCTGTAACATTAAATTAAAGATGAGATACAAATATATATACAGAAGACCATCTACTAACCACTCCGGAACTGTTGGATTGCCTTGAACACGGCAGATTCAACCTCAACCTCATTTTGATACCGTATAGAATCTTTACCAAGGAAATCAAACTGCAAACACAAACAGATAAATTCTGTTGATTATTGCTAGCAATATGCCGTCAGGGTGAAAAAAAACTTGCATGGTTATTATTTTCTACAAGAAACTCAATTCTCAGAGCTGTCAACGGTGTCAACTTATTGAGACGACGTTGTTTCAATACACCTTTTTTTTCCTCAGCATCCATCAAACTTGTGAATCTTAAAAGGAAAATTGAAAATGTAGACATTTGAGAAATAGTTATACTAGACATAAAGCCACATTACCTTCAAAATATTTGGAGGCATTGGTTCTACATTTTCTACTTTCAATGTGCAGCAACCAACTGTATCAGCTTCATCATCATCCTGCAACATACTAAAAGGTGTTGAGAAGTTGCATCGTCCCATTCTATTTGTCACAGGAAACAAAACTGTAGAAAATGCATAATTAAGAACATGTAGCAAAGGGTGGATCATAATAACAGTTCTTTGCAAATAAATCCCTCTCATGTTCAAGAATTTCTGTGTTGCAGTAGGTTCACAGCAAGAGTGAAAATTTGTCTAATGCCTATATAGCTGATCGCCAATTTATTGGAAGCAAGCCTCAGTTTATTGTCATTGCTCAAGAAGTTCTCAATCAACTAAAAATGCACTGTATAGGATGATTAAAAGCAAAAATCTTAGTTGCTATACCTTCTCGTTGCCTGCCCTAAGAGCTAGTTTATCAATAAGATAGGTAGCAACCGCTATCTGCTTCTTCGTGAGATCTTTACTTGCAAAATCCTTGGTATAAGCTGCTCTTATACCTTGTATATAGTCCTTCAGTGAAATAGCAAAGAGATAATTATATTAAGTTAGTCCTACAACAAAAAGAAGATGCTACACATCTAAGGATGTTTATTGGTTAACTGCATCTTCAATACCTTCAAAAGCCTTGATTTCTCATATTTCTCCTTGTCACTTTGCCCTTTCAGGGTACTGCTGGCTGCAAGGAAAACATATTTGAACTCCTTTGGATTGATTGGATCATTCCAAAATGCTAACCATGTCACGGTATTGTCATGTCTTATTTCTTTCCAGCTGCCAATAAATAAATTCGTAATATTACCTCACCGACCATTTTCCTAATCTTCAAAAGAGAAAACTAATAAGCAGGAAGAAGAACCTTTCACCACGGATAGGACACTCTGGAATTGGTGCATCCTTTCCAATATTTATAGTGATGTCGCTAGGACGTATGCGTTTTTTAAGCTTCCCCATCTGTTCAGCGCTATTTTCTCATTAAAACTCCAATATTGCCACCAATTTTCAAATAAAGAGCCAGGACATAACAAAAGAGGAAATTTTAGATGAACTATAGAGCTTCAATGCTAGCAGAAAGATGTTTAATATACCTTTGGATGCTCTCCACGACCTCGGAACAATCCAGGTGGTTCAACCCTGAAGTTCCCAACCTGCAAATGACATAGTTGTCAGATGCCTCAGACATGCAGCAGAAGAAAGCCACAATGGACTAGTCCATGTCGCTATCAGCCAACAACAAGGTTTAATAAATAAGGCACCATGAACGTCCCAAAAGATGAATATAACTATGCAGAACCCTCATCATTAATGCTGCAGTATAGACTAAAGCCAGCTGCACTTCAAACGCATTTACTGTCATATACAATTATACATGCCCCGATACATATCTTCAGTAAAAATTATCAAAATTGCAGAATAATTATTGATATTTGAAAATTTTATTTACCCATTTGAAGAAAACAAATATGAAAATATACAGAACCTGCTAAAAAATCAATAGTTAATCAAAACTTAGATTTTTTTACTAATCAGTAGCTCTTCAAAAAATTAATAAAATATGCTCCACTCTCCAGCTCGATAATAGGTTGCACAGCACACTTCTATTTTAGATTTACAATAATACGAAAATATACGCAAAGAAAAGAAAAACAAAAATTATTCTCCCAAGACACATTTTTTTTTTTAATTTTTCGTAGTCATTGAAGAAATATTGATGATTTTCTATAAGCAGCAAAAGCTATATATACATCAAGCCGTCGAAACCAAACATAAGTTCCCCTTCCCACTCCCACCCCCAAACAAAAGGAGAAAAAAAAGGTTAGAAAAAATACAAAAAGGGACGAAATACAACATAATGTAGATACCACACCTTCTCTTTGACTCCATTAACAACAGCCCACATATACTTCTCCTCTTGCTTCAACTTCTCTTCTCTTATGGCCTTCTTCTCCTGCCAAAACAATATAGTTCAAATTAGCTGTTGTTCTTATTAGAACATGTACTACCAATTTGTCCACTTGGTAATCACATCTATTCATATACAAGGTATACAGCTAATGAATTGGGTTTATTTTAGAAACGCAGAATATTCTAACTGTTCTAGGACAAACAAGCTAGACAAAGCTTTTCTCTGTTCCATCAGAGAGAATGATCATAAATGGCACAGGAAGAATAAACACATAATAGACACGAAATGCAATTGAAGAGACCCCCCAGAAAAATTAACAATGATTACAAAAACAATGTCTGAAAGGATGTTTATTTCTATTTATATAGCAAAACTATATCAACAAATTACTCCATAACAAGTAAATTAATTATCATGAGAAGTTTGTAACCTATGAATTACACTAGTCAATAGTAACCAGGCATGCAGCAGAGTATGTGATGAATGAGTTAAAAAATGCTAATACTCCGATGTGTCTTCTTGATTCAGGTTATATCATAACCAGTCTCTTTCTGTGATTACTTAATTTACTTACAACAAATTTAAATTTAAAGTACCTGAAAACCTTCTTTTCCATGACATGACGTATAATAGACTATTTCAAAGTTTAAATGTGAAAACTAAATGTTACAATACCAAGAGTCTAGCCAAGCTGTCTAAGAGACGCATACGTTTTCCTTAGAAATGCATGTACAACTTATACGTATAGAAAACAAACAGCTTGATATGAGGCATTGAACATCTACATGAACTCATTGCAATGCGAATTCTACATTGAAAGGCAGCTAAAGGCATCTAAGGGTCATGCTTATTGTGTCAGTTGTACTTAAAGTAGAAATCTGATTCAAGACAGCATTCTAAGATATTCTCCAAGAAACATCATAGTAATCCTTATCTTAAAGCTTATAGCAAACTTGTTAACATTGGCAGATATGAATAAATCAGCTTGACTTTCAAATGTCCCTTAAATGTCACATACAGGAAGTATGACAAAACTTTAACTTACTTCTGTAGTCATTTGTTTCTTTTTCTCCTTTTCTTTCTGGTGCCATTCATATATTGGGGTAAAATCACAGTATTCCAAGTTTTGAATAATGTGATTCTTTCCCAGTATTTTCCTCCAGTCACTCATGAAATTTTCTTTGAACTTAGGTTTGTTCATGTATTCAGTATCTAACATCATCGCGAACATCGTGGCCACCTGCAAAAGAAAAGAAAAAAACATTGCACGGCTTGGAGCAATTTGAAGACAAGCTTTTTGAAGATATAGACCCAATGAGCTAAAGAAAAGTTAGTAACAGTGCGTGTTGCGTGAGAGAGAGTGATATTCACCTCCTCTTGTTCGGGTGTTAAGTCAACTGGCTTCCCCTTGTAGAGAATCTTAACCCCATGAGGCTGGTATGGAGGTGGAAATATCACACCATTGTGAATCAAGGTAGTCCATTTCTGCCCTTCACCAGAGCCTGGAGGAACCTTTGATGACTTGGAGTACTGAGATTGTTTCATCACCTTCTTTGATTTCTTATTTGTTTTATTAAGTGAAGAAGAAACAACTTTAGTTACTTTCGTAACGGCTGATGATTTCTTATCTGAAGCAGCCGGCATCTTCATTCTCTGAGATATGGGAACATGTTCATCATCATCCTCTACCTTTTGCTCAGCTTTAACAGATGCTTGCTTATTATTAATAGGCACTGATGCATTGGAAAGCTTATGCTTTTTTATAGAAGATTGCCCAGCAGATTTTACCTCGCTGGCAGATCTCTTACTTAACACGGTTGAAGGTTTATTTGAACCACTGTCACGTAAGACAGATCCATTTTGGTTATTTTTTGCTGCAATGGGCTTTTCTTCATCCGAATTATAGGACTTGCTAGTAGATGTCCCTACATTAGACTTCAATTGGACCTTATATGACAAAGGCTTTTCATCATCAGAATCTTCCTGTTTGGGGATGCTCGGCTTTTGACTCAAACGTGAAGCACCGGATCCTTTGCTGGCATTGTTCGAGTTGATCTTTGATAAGCCAGTAGGAAGCCTAGCACTAAGTGGTTTATCATCTTCCGAATCATCAGAGTCATTTGGATCAGCAGTAGGCCCAGACGAAGGCTTCTCCACCTTCATCTGTAGATTAACATTTCCTGAACGATTTATCGCAGAAGATTTCACATTTGCCTCAGGAGACCTCAATACAGATGCCTTAGCAGATGAATCAGATGCTTCAGATCTACACAGCGGATATTTAATGGGTGGTGATTTGGAAGATGAAACCATCTTACCCTTTTGAACCCCGGAACTTTGACCATTTTGAGATCGCACATCAGGCATCGGCCTTCCTAATTTTCGGTCAAGCTTTTGAGATGAAGACGACTTTTGCACCTGTGGATTTGATTGGTTTTGCTTTGATGATGAGCTGCTCCGTTTAAATACTAGGGGCTCATCATCCTCATCCATATCATCCATCAATTTTCGTTTGGCACAAGCCTCAACAGCCATATTTTGCTATTTCCTGTGTAGTCATATAATGGTCCTCAGTATCTGTAAAAATCAAATTTTTTTATTTTTTTTTACTTTTCATGTTTGAAGAGCAACTTTACAAATAAAAAATATTGTTTGAACTCCTATTGTTCTTGAGATTTAGGAAACCAACAAAATAATAAATCAATCGTTTTCCCACAATCAGAATGTCACTAACTCACTATGGTATCATTTTCACTAGAGAACCCCTCCTTTCCCTAAAAAATAACACATTAATGGGAAGCAGGCCACAATCTGAAATCATCCAAGGCAGAATAATGCAATGCATTCCCCAGGTCACCAAAAAATATCAAAAAATTGCGGAATAAGAATATTAAAAAATGAGGAACATATATATAGAGTGCACACATGTAAGGAATCACTACATCATCTTAATTCGGGAAGAACAAGCCAACAGAATCTAACTCGCCACTTATCACCCTTTCTGATAAACCAAAAACGGAGCACCAAATTTTTTTCGAGACAGAAAAATCCTGAACAAGAACCAGCATCAAAATTTAAATTGCAGGTTTTATGTTAAAGAAAAAGCACTCTTAAGATGCATTTACCAGATAGGTCAAGAAGAAAAGAAAAAACCAAGAAATAAACAATTCAAAATTACTCTTAGCTGTTACAGACACATGACCATTAAAAACAAAAAAGGTAGTTAACCTCGTTCCAAGCACATTAATTCAAAACACCTATACATAAAGTTGCATGCCCTAATACGATAATTAATCTAATTATTCTTTTTCCCAAAATCGAAACCTTCGAATTAGATTCTCGATAAGAATAAGCTGATACGCATTCAGATGTATCTCAAAACAAGATAAATTCAAAAGCAGGCGATGCTTACAAGGGATCTTTTCTCAACAAAGAATGAATTAGAGAGAGAATCTGATCTAAGATGCTTTACGCAACAGAAGGGAGACAAGAGAGAGAGAGCTAGGGCAAACCAAAGAGGAAGTCCACAACAAAATTAGAAATCCAGAAAACTTAAATGAGAGAAATTTATAGATATATATAGCGGCATTTTTGTATATTTGTATATATTCCTTCTCTCTCTCTCTCTCTCTCTCTCTAGACATCCCCCTCTCTTTCTCTCCCCTATATCCTTCTTTCTTCGTGTGTGTGTGAGCGCGTGAAATAACGCCACACCAACCATATATTGAACCAGAACCCGACCACGACGGACCACCGGATCCGAACCGGGAATTGTTATTCGAACCCAAATCCGGACCCTGCGCCCAATTTGAACGCTGTTGACTTTTAGGTTAGGCGCGAGGGGCTGAGGTTGGGCTTGTTAGGTGTTCGAAATGGGCCCTATTGGATTCTCTAATGGGAAGAAGTGGAAATTACATGAAACCAGGCCTTTTCTTTAGCATTTTAAAAAGTCAGATTTTCACCTTTTTTTTTCATTTCTCAGGTTTTTATCATTTTAATTAAACAATTATTTTTTTAATTAAATGACGCGCGTATCCCGTTAATTGTGGGTTTCAAAATGGTTAATATCTCAACTTCCATATCTAATCGAGCCCTATTTTCTC